TTTAGGCAATAACTTGATGAATTGGCAAGAAATGTACAAAACATGCCTATGTAACATTTAAAGAGATATCTATGGATAATTTTTATTTAATTCCAGTAGTTTGTACATATTTATCGTACACCTGGAATTTGGTTGACACCTGTTATTTCTGAGGATGCCAGGCCAAGAGAGGCGGATATCTAAAATTCACAGATGGTCGTAATAAGAGTTGTGCGAACTACATTAGCGCGCATCCCAAAACCCTGGTTGTGAAATCAACAACAAATATATTTTTATCGCCAATCAGATGCATAAAAAAGGACTAATACCATCACGTAGTTTACAGTTCTGATTATTTGAACAGTAAGTCTGTTAGATAAAAGGATTCTACTTGGACGGGAGGACATGGATGCTCCATGAAAATCCATATGTATGACCACGACGGGTTTACTGGAGTGTAGGTGTATCCATTCAAGTCTGAGGCATTTGGTAGTGGATACGCTATTCAAGGTGCCGTAGCTGGTATTTCCGCAAATTTGCAAAGCGGAACCATCCTTACTGTGGTAGCTAGGCAAATCACGAAAGTCTGAATTAGCTAAATGAGACCATTTACTTCTAATAAGGCTTATCAATAGGATGCTGTTGGATTCCGGCCAACGTGCGACCTGGGTTTAAAAATATCGAAAACGAAGACACCGAAAATTCTTAAGCGAGTTCCCCGACGAAAGCACCAAACATAAGCTACCTAGCGGAGAGAACCAATTTTGCACAACAAAATTATTGGCTGTCAATTTGTCGAAATATGGGTAGGTTGGGCGCGTTTCATCATGATCATCAAAGACAGCAACATCAGTGTTGGTACTGATGCTTCACTGCCGTATGGTTGTACGAGGGCTGGGATACTGTCAGGGCGCCCACACCTAGACAGAAGGACGATTAGTGTCCTCAACCAAAGCCTTTGGCTCAAAAGCCTAACCGCAAGGTAGCGGTGTTTGGCGGGAAATGCAAATGCATTACCATTTCTACGGAACAAGTCGCCACATGTTCCAACCCCCAACCTGGAGGGCCAGGAGACTGTGTTCGTCAGACCTCTAACCATTGACCAACCTGGTATGAGAGACTCTGTGAGTGTCGCGGGACACTCTCCAGTATAGCTCAATGGATCGCTGAGGTGCGCAAACCGTCACACCACGGTAAGGTCCAGTCTCTTCGTGACGGCCGTAATTGCACTAAGCCTGCCCACTTGTGCATTCATATCTCCACCACGATGTCTATTAAGGCGCTAGAGAATGCATCTCAGTTACAATCGTGTTAAGCGAGTGAACTAAAACGCCAACTCCTCAGTCTTCTAATGAGACTATGTCGATCATAGTAGTTCCTCTCTCTCTCTTGTTCTCACTCATTAGCCTTACCAGACCTGTCGATGGGGCAGAAACGCGAAACTGTCCGAGTTAGCGACCGGAAGTGATTAATTCTGCGGTCGCGTATTCTGGCTGGCTGTGGTCGCATCGTACTCGGACAGTTTAGCGGTCCGTTGCAATTTTAAAAACCTCGAATTCAGATTTTGGGCTTCCGAAGCCAAAAACATCAAGAAAGTGGGCCAACCGAGGGGGGAAAGGTCAGTGTTTTTGTTTCAGAATGGTTTATAGCTGGGCAACTCTTCGATTTCGAAACGAAAGCTTCAGCTTGGTTGAGTTTTGAGACAGACGAAATACACCGATAAAAACTAATCTATTGAATCATCTCAATGTCGGTTTGAAGTTCTCGTTAATCGTGGATTACGGGAGTTCGAAATCACTTTGTCCTTGATCTCTAATTGGTGATTACTCTTGGGTGTCACTAGTTTAATTTTGTTGTTCCGTGAGGTTTGTAGGTGCCAAGACGATCGAGTGGGGGAGAGTGAGATTGCATGGACTTTGTTTGGCCTGGACTATGCACTCCAGACCTAAGCTACTTGTGTTGATGACACCTCTTCGGTGACAACCGCAGACTGCCACATGTCATGTCGACTGATCTAGAACCGTTCTCCACTCGCTCACTAGCTAGTTCTTGGAGATGCTTGGCAGTTTCCACGGCCGAGGCAATCAGTCGCTCTGGTGTAAGCCGTTGTTTCCGCCTGAAAACCTTAAAACATTTTGTCAATTTATGTCTCATGTCTAGAGCATTTCCTGCCATTGCTCAGTCCGGTAATACTGTGTGCTTCTCGATTATCTGGTTGCTTTTCTCTCAAGGTCACTGATTTCGGTGTGTTGATTATCTGGCCGTGTTTTCCTTGTGGACTTTATTGCAGTCGTTGAATTTGATTTTGTAGACACAGTGCACGGTTTTATTCATTGAGAGACTGTATTTCAATGGTACCAGTGCAGAACGGTTCCCTTCTCTAAACCATATTTAGGGACCTTTGAACGACTTTAAAAGTCCCTGGTTCGTATGGAACACCGACTTAGGATGGGCGGATGGATAGTTCAAACCGCCTCAGTGTCAGTTGGTTTTTCCGGCTGTAATAACGGTAATTTCTTCAGCTTATTTCTCGGTCTGGTCCTCCCAAGCTAGCGTTCACGTCAAAACAACCACCAAAGGTGCACAAGGTATATTAACGCCCAAAATGAAGTCATGAACAGTTGTACAGCGCTCCGTATATATAGCGTAGGCGGTTATAACCTTCTGGAAGTTCTGACGCGTTCTGGGTGCGCCACTGGCAACCGGCATTCGACCAATACTGGGTCATGATTGGCTACTGGGTTCAGACTTTCGACCAATCAGATCTCGTCTTGATGCCGGACCGGCAAGCGTCTCGAATTCCTGGCCAATGTTGCGTGGGATGGACTTCTTGGCCGTAGCAGCACCTGAGCGCGAGCGGTAAAGCGGGATCCGTGTGGAATTCCGCCTAACACCGGTACACCGTGGTTTTTGGTAACCACCAATCTTACGTGTTGAAGTTGATTTCTTCCTATGGGCATTCAGTTCATTCAGATTCCTGTAAAATTCACTAACCCTGTCTTGTTTACTCCTGACGAAAGTGCCATCTGCATAACGTCAAGGTATTTTGGTCGGGTACGAGAAACGAGCTAAAACTTTTGTGTTCTAAATCCCCCATAGTGATATTTGCCAAAGCCGGGGAAATCCCATGGCTAGGCCTTACTCTTAAGCGTAAACTGTGGAGTCAAAAACAAAGTGAATGAGTTTCAGGCATGCTTTTATACCTTCCATTGTTAGGTTTACGTTAGGCTGTGTCCGTTCTGAAGGTGTGATGTCAGTAGGAATCGCTCGGCTGTTTTCAAAGAACCTCCTTTTAACACCTCTGTAGATAAAGACAAATTCCTATGAATTCCTAACAAGAGTACTCGATTATTCGGTTAGGGGTTTTGGAATAGTTGCCAAAAGCCAGCTCATGGTTTGGAGAACCTATTCCCTCTAAAATCTGACCAGCGGTAGGTACTCTAAAACAGGTGGACAAAATAGTGATCGCAAAGACTATTGTTCCGGATACGAGTGATCATCTACAAATGAGTAAGAAACATCTATCTGAAGGACCGTACCGGCAGATCGATAGTAGAAATATCACCTCGGTACTGAATAAGAGTAAAGTTAGAGTTAGAGGGGGAGACTTCATAAACTATTTAGAGCGAAGTATCGACATCGATTGTACCTTAAAAGTACAATTCAACCCCTACTTTGTGGTCCACCAAAAATCCACAAAATCTCAGACGTGAAAATTCAGATGTGTCCAACGTGGAGTAGTGGTTACATGCTCGTCTCGCACATCAGATGTCCGGGGTTCAAATCCCGGCACGGCCATCGGATATACACTGCTGATGAGCTCTAATAAGAGCGAAACTCGAGTCCAGTGCTTCCCTTTGGTATGGACTCACCGGAATAACTACGCCAGAACAGGAGAACGACCGTTCAAACAAGAGTAGTGTGACTATGAACAAAATACCTATCCCGCAAAACTGCAGTCTCAATTGTAGACCCAACAAGTTATGGTCGTTGGTTTGTTCGCTGAGTTGGACTATTAGATTTCGTGAGGTTAAAGCGGTTGCCCTCTTTGATTAGTACATCGCATCCACTGTCTCCCTCGTGCTTTGTTTTGTTCCACATCCAACAACGTGCATCGCGAGACAACATCGTGATCGTGAATATGACCTTGGTGAACAACAGGTCAACTCCGTGAACTTTTAAAAGACGCAGTGTGATTTCACATTGTTTTCCACGTAACGCGTTGTGGGATGTGGAGTAAAAAACAGAGCAGAAGTCCAGATTTCAGTAAACTACTGTTGCACGTTTCGAGTTCATTGTGTGTCTTGTCGATATCTGTTTGACGATATTTAACCTTGAACAAACACCGCACGTGTAGAATGAGATGCCGAAACCCTGGTATGTGATTGGTAAGGGCTTTCATGCTTCGTCACCAATTCATGGACTGATCGCTTTCCGGTTGTCTCCATCCAACACAAGACCGCGGAAAGACGGCTCTACGGGGCAGACTTTCTTCTGGAATGCTAGATACGCAGCCTAAATTGTGGAGTGTGATGAGTTGATCCACCGACGGACAAACTGTGTTCTCCCCAAGTGTGACTGACCATTTTCCGTTGATCTCTTGAAGTTGCTAGCAAAACATTAGGGCCCTCCAAAAACAGCCACTATTGATAGTTCTCTTCATGGGGTATTCAACAACAGAGTAACCCTGTTGGTTTTCTTTTTATGTTGACTGAAACACTAGATTCCCAGTGTATTCATGCTGGTGAACTGTTTATTTTAGCTTGTCGTGGTTTCGCCTAACGGTCTTACTTAACCAGCTCAATAAAGCTATGAATCTACGACTGCCCGAAAACACCTTACCATATCGTCTCTTATGAATGGCACATGTTGAAATTGTCTTTCATTGCATGCTTATTTTCAGCCGCACCTTATCCCACAAGCCCGACGATGCCAGGAGGTGAGTATGTCTCTCCTTGTCAAGCGCGTGACTTGGAATGAATTTGGTTCTCTCCTGTTAGTGCAGATGTCCCTCTGTACAACGACGCTAGTTGCTAACTGAACGTAGGGTCCAAATAATTTCAACGCCCTGTGGTGGTCGATGCGAATTCAACTGAACTAACCAATCGCGTCTATCTTGTGAAGTCCCAGTTTCAGTTATGTTGTATTTGGTGGCATAAGACTGGAATGAATGGGTTGTCTCACCAGTGTCCTCAGGGGTGCAAGGTGTAAGATATGGGCTTCTGATCGAAAGACCCGAGATTTGAGTCCACACTCAGTGGATTACTGATCACCCGTATCTTATACTGAACCTGGACCTGGGTGACGCAGCTTCCTGTGAGTTGCATGACTGTCACTTTCCGAACCGCGGAATGCTTTTGGAGCACCATCTCCGTGATACACAGCTCAGTTCTGACTACTTCAAATTCGGTATTTTGTCGCATGCTCGTTGTGCTCCAGGTATATTGATAGAAAATCGTTTAGCTGTAGCACTCTTTCGGTGCCTAGGTGCCATGCCACACGAAGGAGGCACAGTGGTTGGGATACTGCCAGGTTGCCCAAACCTAGACAGAGGAAGTCGGGTGGGGGGCAAAGGTCAGGTTCGAATCACGTGCTCTAACCACTTGGGCCATCTCGCCCCACATGGATGCGGTCTCGGCGTTTACACAAAGACAGCTTTTCTAAAGCAGATGCAAATTTTCGGATCCTACACGTTTCCAGTTTTACCTGTTCATGGTGGTTTAGCCTCTTTGCACAAGGCGAGATGGCCCAAGTCATTAGAGCGCGAATTTACTGACCGGAAGGTCCGTGATTCGAACCCGACCTCTGCCACTCGACTTCCCCTGTCTAGGCTTGGGCAACCTGGCAGTATTCCAGCCCTCACGCAACCTTCGGGTGGCATGACAGCTAGGCACCGAAAGGGTGTTACATTTGAACGGTTTTGCACGGGCAGCACTGTCGAAGCCGTTCAGTTTCAAGTGACATGTTCTCCTGAGTGGAATAAGTTAATTCGCTTGTCGTTATTGATCTGAAGGCCGTGCATTTGGGATGTAGCGACGCTCTTGTTTACACAGTACGGTTTCATTGATTCATGTTGCTCCTGCTCTCCTAACAACCTCCTCCTCAATTTGTCTCCAGCCGGTTATTCGCATCCGTATCCTGATCCACAGTCCCAACCTTACGGTGAGTACTCTGCGTCGGATGGGAATGCGTTTACAAGTTCTGCAAGATTCAGCGATAAGTCTGTGCGCCACGCATTCATACGAAAGGTAAGCGGTCTCTGGCAGTGACATGTATATCGTATATCTGACTACAGTTCATCCCGCTATGAGCTGACACTTTGTTTTTCGATAAAAGTGATGCGATAATGAATTCTAGTCCATCGTTTCCTCTAAGCGTATTAGGGTTCTTGAGAATTTTCAAGTCATTCTGCTTCGTCTACTGTTCCGGCGAATGTTGACAACTCATGTCACCTAAATGGTCGTTGGATTCATCGATGAGCTGAACAAGCATTGGCGCGATGGATCCATCAGTGTCTTGTTGTGAAAAGTTCACAAGCAAATTGCCATCGGCTCCTAGCTTTACACATGCTGGTTCCGCCGACGAACGCCCCATACCACTTGTGGACCTTGACTCTCGCACCCCACGTGTTCAGTTGTTTTCCGAGGTGATAAAACCGCACGATATGGTAAGGAACCACAGACATCTTCGATTGCAGGTATGGTAGATCATGACAAGCTCCCGGATGTCGTAATCGAGTAGCTCCGGGAAACGAACGTTTAACGTTTAGAACCTAGCTTCCGGTTGTTTCGACAAAAGTCACCTTTCACAATGTGACTTAGGTATCAGGCTTGTTGAAGACCAAAAGTTCCACGCGTAGACTTATTCCCCTTCGCCACAAAGTCCTATACAGCTGTACGAAGGCTTTTCTGACGCTGAACGTTTTCCTTTGTCTGTTCACTGAATCGGACGATGTGTTTCTCATTGTATTTCCATACGGAAATTCGCTCGACCCCCCTCCCAGTTCTTTTGTTGAGGGGCCGCTAGTACACGTCCATAGACGCGGGCGGAACTTGGCTTCTAGCCCCACAAATACTTATTAGTGGCTGGAGTGTGTTGTCGCTCAACAAGATAATGTTCTTAACGTAGTGTACGGTTTCTTCTAAGTTTTTTGAACTCATTTGGATATCAGAAGATCCTTTGAAGATTCACTCAAGTGACCAATGGATCGTGAATTTAGAGAACACTGATGACAGTCAGTAGTCTCGTCATGCACCAGAAAGAAGGCTAAAGTCGTAAAGGAAACTACTCACAAGGTTGCTGAAAACTCTCCGACAACCCACGACTGGTTTCGCCCTTCTTGGGGCTCATCAGGTAGGCGCAGTCCCCGAGTCTCCTTCAACTTGATGTTCCACTTGAACCCAGATTGGACTGTTTTCGAGAAATACACTCGGTTCTCCTCGCCGTATGACAGAATACCGACTTTCGTTGATGAGTAGTATGTCTCAAGAAAATTACGAACTTCCTGGGGACACTATTAGTTTAAGCGATTGCTCACGGTATTTCGCAACTTATCGAGGATGATGTGGTGCGAAGGTTGGCAAAGGACTTTAAAGTTGGTTATGGAATTAACAGCGGTCTTTTAAGACCGAGCGTTAGGACAATAAGTGGTCCGAACTGCCTCTTTCAGGGCTGAAATCTCCTTGATTTGGTCTTGAATGGAATCGAATATTTCAATCGTAGCGTAGATCAGGCTAATTTCATGAGAACCGCAGCACGGCCGTTTTATCGGCAGTCATATTGAGTTGCCCCAGTTTGGACACATTCTAAACAAAATAAGTTATGAAGAGGTGCGAGAGGTGTGGACAGGCAGATTCACTTGGGACCTTATCTTCTTCGGGAGGTTTTTCGGTTCCATCGTTTTTTGCTAATCGTGAGAATCCGCTGTTCGCAGCTGTTGTCAGGTGATGTTGAGGTTGAGTCTACTTGGAGCAATTTAGGTCTAAATTGCCAGATGCTTGGACGTCGCTTGAAGCACTCCGTCCAGAGTTGCATCAGCTAGCAGACGTTGTTGAGGCTGGAATTTTCCTGAATCCTTCCATATGAGTCAAAATCCGCTACTTGATGTGTAGGCTCCACGCCTGATGCAGTATCCGAACAGTGTGCGACGCCTTTTCTCCTGACGGACCGTATGGCTTGTCCGAGCACCATGCAACAGTCAACCGATTCATTTGAGCCTGCTATGGACAGGGCCATGTTGTCCCAAGCCCCCCAGGCTTATGTTACATGACTGATCCACAGTGCTTTCAGCGCCATCCCGTAGTTGTTTGCTTGGTTGTTATGGATGCCGACCTCTCGTCTTGTGATCATAGCTTCTGAAGTCACTGTTTGGTTTTCCGGGCGACCGATTGATACACTGTTCACATGCTTTGGAGGTCAAATCTTCCTTCCTAAGTGAAATTTAAGTTTGACACTCACACAAACGTGTGCTGCATTTCCAGTTTCACGGCCACAATGATACCTATCGTGTACGCACCGGGGCATAATTTGCCTATGTCATCATCGTTCGATTACCCGGTGAGATAGAGTTTTCTTGGGTTGATCGCTAAATCAGTGAAGCAGTCCGCATTCTTACAGCGTTAGCCAAACCGGTTGGTGTATGTTGTCCCGGTGTCTTGTCAGTCGCCTTCTGCTCGTCTTCGTCAAACTTGTCCCCTACGGTTGGGTCTGATGCATAAAAGGATCAGTGTCAAGTTCTCCTGGCTACCTTTGAAACAAACCACTACAAGTCTCGTGGTTTTCAAGTGATAAGTGCTCCTCACACGTATCGTTACGGTGGCCCATGCTGTCGACTCGTCTAGCGTTGGAGAGTAGCTGTCCGGTTTTGTCTGTCATGTGAGTAAGGTAATCGAGTCAGGTTATACCTGTGCATGTTGAGTGGAAGGGTTAGAAGTGATCCGGACAAAGCTTGCGAACAGTTTGTTTCAAGTGTTGAAAACCTTGACTTGTGTTTTGGTCATCTCTACCGCTTTGCCCCTACCGTGGACGCCGTAGCGTGAACACAATTGCTTGTAGAGGACGCTGTCATTGACGCTTCATAAGCGTGGCTTACAACGTTGCACGGCTTACGTTTGATGATATGCCGTGAGGTCTTGCATACAGTAAAGATGGGTAAGACATCAAGGAGTGTGTAGAGAAAGGTTGTTCCCATGTAGCTGATGTTAACTCATTTGTCTATCTGTCCTAATTCCAGGTCTACTTGATCCTCACCGCGCAACTGCTTGTAACCTGCGGGATCGTCTCTCTGTTCCTGCTGGCGTAAGTTGTTCAACTTCAATCTCCAAGTAACCTAATCTCTATTTCTCTCGGCTAGTCATCGAGTCAAATATTGGGTCCAGAGAAATTCGTGGTTCTATTACATCTCCTAGTGAGTTCCACTTTTTACGAGTCTGCTTTGTTTGATCTATTGGTGTTAATTATATTTGTTTGGGAAGCGCTCACATGAATTCCTTGAACCTAGTACCTGATGATGACATCATCACCTTCATCGACAGCACAATATCAGTATTCAACACTGATACTTGGCTGCCGTACAGTCACAGTTTATTTAAAAAACCTTGTTATGAAGAAGAGAAAAAAAGCGGACGAGGAAGGGACTTGGTGCCAGTCAACCACAATCTCTCCGAGGTGACTACACTCCCAGACACCGATGATGTTGTCATTGAACTAGTGTGATTTGATTCCGTCATGTTTTCGTGATCCGCGACCTCTTATTCATCGAAGTGTTTTATGGATAACCTCTGAAAGCCACTAGGGAACCAAGACAACCCTTCAGGTAAGAAGCTACTTTATCCAGTCTGTTCATATTGCACTACAATCCTTTTGATTTTCATCTTTCGGTCTTCCTGTCCAGTGCAACCTTTCTGGTCACCTACATCACTCTGGTCTGTTGCGACAATGTGAGACGTCGTTTTCCGGGGAACTTCATCGCATTGAGTGTTTTTGTAAGTCTCTTTCCGATTTCGTACGTCTTGTTCTGTTCAATTCGAGTAACCGGCTTCATGTTTTCGTTATGGTGCCCACTACTCGTCTTAATCGATTGACATTTCCAAACGATGAGAACGACTGAAGAGTACTTGGAGTGTTACCCCGCTTCCATCACATTCTATACTCCAGCACATCGTATCTTCTGCCTCACTTGTTCAAAGAAAAACCTAAAAATAGCTTATTCGTTCATATGGGCACATTTTGTCCACATATTTATGTATACAGTGATTCCCGATTAGGTTTTTTTGGAGACAATCCAAACTATTTTGGTAATTTTCGTCATAAATTCATACAATCAGTGTTGTCCGCAGATACTAGGTGGCCGAAACTAGTGACCGCACGAGTGAGTGTGGTCTATAGACCTGTTCAAATGGTTGGGACTTGTTCACTGTCATTTCGAGTAGTATAGTTGGTATGTACTTATTAAAAGAGCCTTGACACACACGTGTTGCTTACTGCAGTGTATATTGCATGTTGGCAGCCGACATAGTGCTCTCCACCGTGTTCTCCACATGTTAGGGCTTCCTACTCGGTTCAGCACCCCCGGAATTTTAGCGTGTGCGGCTTTCATGTAGTCATCTTAGTGTTTTCCAANAATGTGAGCGTGTGCGGCGTTCATGTAGTCATCTTAGTGTTTTCCAACACATGCAAAGTCATATTCGTTGTCAAGTAATCGCTGGAACTACAAATAGTCAGCACTTGCGCACAAATCCCAGCGGGAACACCTCCTGGACCGATGGTGGCCGTTCTATCTCGTGGGGAGTCATCGATGAAGGGGATTGTGGTTTTCTTGAAAATGACTGAACTTCACTGTATTCGGAGGCTCTTCACTTCACTGTTCGGTCATTTCTGGGCTTCGTGAACTCACAGAAAGAATTGACCGCTGTAGCCATCTGCAGTCGAAGTCTCTGGTTTTCTGGGAGGTACAATCCCAAGGAGTGTTTTCGACTGCGTAGCGCGAAAACTGGTGAATGATTGAATAGTTCAACTGTAACACTCTTTTGATGCAAACCTGTCATGTCGCTCGTAGGCCGCATGAGGGCTGAGATACTATCTGGTTTCCCAAGCTTAAACGGAACCAGTTGAAGTGCCTGGGTTGGGTTCGAACCATGAACTTTCCCGTTAGTGAATAGTCTGTGCCTTAACCGATGAACTATCTCGATGTCTCTAGGGTACTACTAATTTCTGGTTCACCTTTTTGTTGCTGTCAATTCCTCGATACGTGCAGTTATGTGAGTGAACAATGTTCACCAAGGTGAAAAAGCGTTTGAAACTGTATGTATTCACTGAGTACTCGCTTCTAGTTGATGCTTAAAAAAATTTAGTATTATTCCACCGGATACGGGTAGCTAAAATTAAAGGTGATTCTGAGTTCCCAGTGAAACTCATCATTCATCGGTACAGACCTGTTGAAACTTGACCACATGCGGTTCGTTTAGTATTCGTTACTAAGAGATCTCTCCTATTTAAACTCCTCTGTCACTCCTGGATTCACGCATCGATTATGTCGGCTACTGCCTCCAATGCGTAGCCGGCCGCTTGTGTCACCGCAACGCATCGGCAGACTAAACGAGTGAACAATGTTCACCAAGGTGAAAAAGCGTTTGAAACTGTATGTATTCACTGAGTACTCGCTTCTAGTTGATGCTTAAAAAAATTTAGTATTATTCCACCGGATACGGGTAGCTAAAATTAAAGGTGATTCTGAGTTCCCAGTGAAACTCATCATTCATCGGTACAGACCTGTTGAAACTTGACCACATGCGGTTCGTTTAGTATTCGTTACTAAGAGATCTCTCCTATTTAAACTCCTCTGTCACTCCTGGATTCACGCATCGATTATGTCGGCTACTGCCTCCAATGCGTAGCCGGCCGCTTGTGTCACCGCAACGCATCGGCAGACTAAACCGTGGCCAGTACGACCGCTGTACAATATGTTTGCAGATTTCACAGCGGGTGATGATGACTGAGTGAGGCTGTGTCCACCCAATCAGTTGGACCGACCTTCTCCAAGAGTTCTTTTTGCAAAACCACCCAAAGAGTGGAAACTAGCCCGGGAGGTCAAACAATGACTTGGCAGCAACAGTGTGAAAGCCATTACCAGCAAACTCAGCTGCTCTAGTTATTGCCGTCTCCTTGGATGGGACCCCCAGACGGGACACACCTATGGTTACAGATATTACCAGACATGGCTCAGTCGCGCCGCAAATGGCGCTCGTGCATCCAGGCTATTCCTTCCAATACATAGCTACCTTCCCAATCTCCCTACTTAGAAGAGGGGGGCGAGATAACTCAAGTGGCTAGAGCGCGAATTTACTGACCGAAAGGTCCGTGGTTCGAACCCAACCTCTGCCGCTCGACTTCCTCTGTCTAGGCTTGGGCAACCTGGCAATATCCCAGCCCTCGTGCTTCCTTCGGGCAGCCTGGCAGCTAGACACCAGAAGGGTGCTACAGCTGAGCGGTCCCTGACAGCCCTGTATTTACGCACCTCCAATGCGCAGCTACCTACCCCATCTCCCCGAATCATCGGTGAACGGGACTGTGGCAGATGCAACCAATGTACGACAAGTACACCCGCCGATAATGATGGTGTAACGTCATCGATTGTTTTTGAGCGAGCGTCACTTTTTCAAGTTGATTGGGGTTCTGACATTCTGTCTTGCGAGACATTCTTCAAGAGGACAAAATGGGCCGCTTTTCTTTGCACGAATTTCTCTTTCCAAGGACTGCTTCTATGCTTGTTTTCAACAAAAATATACGGAAACTCTAGACAATATGGATTTTCAACTTGAAAGGAACTGTCTACTGTCCTTGCGATTCGCTGTTATTGATCGAGGGCTCGGTCCATGACCGAATCCCATAGAGGCAATGCTAACCATTTGTGACCATTGTGATAACTTTGTCTGGTCAATATTACGTGTAAACTTTCAGCCGTTGCCACTTCGGTCTTCACACAGATCAATAGTACGTCGCGCCCCTACGGAATTTCCGTTCTATTCTTGGCGTGTGATGCTTCACCTGAAAAATCTGGTGATGGTCGATGAAGGTCGTAGGTAATGAATGTGTGTTTACGTCACCACCGACTGCGGAATCACGGATACTTTCCCATCCCGTAACAGTCGTGCATCAATCTAACTGTCATAGGTTATCCAAAATAGGGTGTGTTCCCCTTGCTTGCCTGCTCTTCTTGTATAGGTAGTTGGTTGTGGATTCCGTGTGGTGGTTCGACTGATTATGAGTTTAGCCATTCTTCACTCTATCCTCTTTTTGAGCAGTAACTAACCCGGACTGCATAAATTTAGTTCGAATGCACGGAATCGTTCGCCGTCCTTACCTTAACGTCCCAACTCTGTGAACTCTTTTTTGAGAAGCGTTGATTGGTTCGGTGGTACGAGATCGCTCCCTTCAGGCTAGCCTCTGCATTGAAGCCCATATCCTTAGGCAAATCAACGTGGTGGATGTTAACTGAATCTCCCTTGTTCACAGTTTTCGCCACAGTATGGTGGTACCAAGGAATATTGTCTCTTGTCCGCTCTCTTTCGCTCTGTCTGATTGATCCCCTCACCTGGGGGAATACTGTACTACGATCCCGCCTGCGATTAATAGAACGAATTGGGCCTTTTATTGTTCCATGGTTCTACGGTGCCGACTGAGCGGAAGCTCTCACCTTCACCTCGTTTCGAGTTGGATTTCGCTGCCCACCGCCGTTCTGTTGACTGACTGAACGCCAAACTACTGTCTCACTATACCCTGTTGTTTCACCATGGACCCTATTGTTTATTTAATCAAATAAGGACTTGGACAGGCGCGCCATTGAATCATGACCCAGCTGCCTCGAAATTTGGTCTACCTTCGTTTTTGCTGTTAGTCACGTCATGTGCATGCTGTTGAGAGGGAATCGAACTTTTGTCTGTGTTTTCGAACGACTGTCAGTATTTTCAATGCCTGGATTTTACGCCTTGAACCAGTTCCACCGTGTTTGCGTTTTTACGGTAATGATAACCACTGACCAACCCTTTCCGTGGTACAGCGTCTACCTGGTCACTAACGTTCTCAAATACGATGAATCCTAACTGTTAGGGGAACATTACTACGAGCACTGGCATTATAAATTGTGCTATCGAGTTAACTCTTCCACGGCACCATAATCCCGAGATAGTCTGAGATAGCTTAGTGGCTAAGACCCGAGCTTACCAACCGGAAAGTACGTGGTTCGAAACCAACCTCTGAATCTCGACTACTTCTCCTCGAAAAATCTCAGCCCTCGTGCTTCCTTCGGGTAGTACGGTAGCTAGGTACCGAAAAGGTGTTGCGGCCGGACGAACGTTTATTTATTTTGTCATAATCTCACTCGGTAACAGACGTATCTTCGGGATAACTCGAGTAAACTCAACCAAATGTACGGGAACCTTACTATGTATTATACTACTTGTAGCATCGTTTGAACAGGAGCTTACTAGATCGTTGACACCGTTGCGCATCCGCGTCTTCATTGTAGTTCATGCTGCGTGCCGTGTGATTCTTACTTGTCTTACTCGCAGTGATTTCGTTGTTTACTTGACTCCGCTGAATCAACTCTCTTCGGTTCAGCCACTTGAACTGTCCGCCTTAATGTTGTCTTGGCTTCACAGGATCCAACATTTCTGAGGTTTCGTTGTAGATGAGGCGACTATCGATCTCTTTGCCGAGCTTGGTAGTTTGCTTGCTAACGTTTCGTCACCGATGGCGATCAAGCAAATTGTCGAATTCGGCGAACAGTCGAATAACCACCTGATCTACTACCATTTACCGCACCTGTGCTACTAATTTTTCGATATACTGTCTGAGTTTTCTCTGGCGGTCGGTTTTATGTTTGTATGCGAACACGAGTGGCGCGTCTGAAAGAACAAGACGAGGACCGTCACATGACATAGTCAGCTGACCATCGTCCTGACATCATTTTCGTCACTGGTTTGATTCAAGAAAGAAATTCGGATTCTTTCTGGACCCAAATCAATGGCGGTGGTGAGACCAGCATATTGATCAATCGACCAGTCACTTGCTAGCCAGCGTCCTACTCTTGCTAACGAGTCATTCGTTTTGTACACACAGTGTAGAATGCTCAACGTATTCGGGGGAGCTAAATTGAGTGATGCGTGGAATTACAAGTCAACAATTGTGAAGTCTTGAGATTGAGCACTAAAATATAGTACCATATGTACAAAAATACGTACATCAAATGGACACAACCCTTAAATTATGGGGATTCTTGCGCAAATTGTCGCACGAATCGGTGCAAGTCTAGAGAAAATTTGTGAAAATTCTTCGACAACCCACGACCGGTTTCGCCCTTCTTGGGGCTCATCAAATGCATACGGTCACCGAGCTTCCGTCAACCTCATGTTCTACTTGAATCGAAACTGCACGAAATCAGCCAAACACACTCATTTGCAAGTCAATTTGGCTTGCGAGAGACTCACCTGGAACCCAGCTGAAGCTCTCGTTTATGGTGTTTTTAAGCAACTGAATGTGCTGCACCAGGCCGCCTCATGTTTCAGTTGGTACGAGATATCGCAATACATCTATAGACGTAATGCACTACTCATAAGGCTGTCGAAAATTCTTCGATAGCTCACCTTAAAAGATTATAAAAACCCTATGGGATCAGCATACCCGGAGAGCGGCAAATCGATTCGAAGTAGCCACAACCGTGTGCGCACAGCATGTGGTAACACAAGTGGTCAAAAGGTGCGTTCGTCAAAATTGGCTCGGTATGACAGGAGTCAAAAGTTCATGGGAGATCACACATGCATATCGAATCCCAGGGATAGTTGCAAAAAACGGTGAGTTCAGTCCAGGAGAGAGTTTGATCGAAAGAAAGGAGCTACACAGGTTTTGATATTTCCAGTTTTGAGATCTCTGTCTTGGTGTCTTCACAATTTCGGGGACAACATTTTCGCTTAGCAACTAACGGAGAACACCACGATACCGAAATCTGTTCACCATCACCCTCGTTATTGCTACACTTCTCTGTTCGCTTCTATTGCTTTCGAACTTCACAGGTGACTGAATGCCGTCTCCCGTATCCGAAGAACCATATTTTAGCTTGAGTTGTTGGTACGTCTCGTTTTTGTAGTTTCAGAGCACAGCAGTAGGTACAAACAAAACAATCGACCCATCCATTTCATGTCATGTGAAGCTAGGAGGCCGGCCCGTTTCAAGTCTGCGTGACATCATGAAGCTAACGTGTCTACTGGTCTTCTAATATTCCTCGAAAGTTCATCATTTGTGTTTGATATTGAGGTTCGACGGGCTCGAGATGGCTAAGCGGTTCTGGTATGAGCTTACTGACCGGATGGTCTGTAGTTCGAATCCAACCGCGGCATTTCGTCTGTTTCTGTCTAGACTTGAGCAAACTGGTAGTATGTCAGTCCCAGTGCTTCCTTTAGATGGTATAGCAGCTATACGCCCAAAAGGCGTTGCAGCTGAATGATCTTCGTCGACGAAAGCGCAGTGGCCGGTGTGATACCATGGTCAAGCTGACTCTTGATAAAATGGATGGGTGCCTCTTCAGCTCACAGTATTATTACCTTTACTCAATGTGTCACTCCGTTATCATCGAAAGTATAAGTACTTTTGGGATGAAATTTGCTCTCCTGTTTGGGAAAATTGTCCTTACGCACAACTAAGTCCGTTTGGATCGTTCTCCGTAAGTGATCCTTGTTCGAAGGGAGAGGAGACTACAACAACGTATTCATGTTTTTCAGCAGGGGTCGAGATGGACCAAGTGATTAGAGCGCGAATTTACTGACCGGAAGATCCGTGGTTCGAACCCGACCTCTGCCACTCGACTTCCCCTGTCTGGGCTTGGGCAACCTGGCAGTATCCCAGTCCTCGGGCCTTCTTCGTGTGGCATGGCAGCTTGACACCAGCTACAGCTGGACAATTTTTTCACTTTTGTTTCTCAGCAACAGCTAGAACTGGATGTCTGTTGTCTGTTCGTTGTCCCGTCAATACAGCAAACAGTCCGAAGCAGCTTGAGAATTAGACAAGATCAACGTAGCCTACTTGTTTGATCTTTCGCATTTCTGTTTGTGCATTTTCCGTTTGCCTTCAGACGCTTGCGTTCTCCTACGTGGCCGGAACCATAGCCTCGTTCCACAACACCGACTCTGTGCTGATCGCGGTCGGAATCACCGCTGCCGTCTGTCTGGGCATTTCCCTGTTTGCCATACAGACACGTATCGACTTCACAAAGTGCACCGCACTCATCTTCGTCCTCTCTCTGGTCGTACTATTGACCGGCCTGGCATGTATGATTGTGTACATGGTGAGCGGCCCAAACAAGGTGAGTCTGTTTACTCACGAAGTGTTGCTTTTTTTCCTTATACCTTAGTTCCTGCTGCTTATTTCATCATGATTCAGCTGTTTCACTGTTCTGAACAACTCTTCTGTTTGAAGCGGAAGGGAGTTCCTCCATTGTCTCTGAGGCGTTCGTATCCGTGCTGGATAGCTCAGTGGTTAGAGCGCGAATTTACTGACCGGATGGTCCGTGCTACGAACCCTACCTCTACCTCTCGACTTCTGTCTAGACTTGGACAACCTGGCAGTATCCCAGCCCTCGTGCTTTCTTCGGCCGGTATGGCAGCTGATCACCGAAAAGGTGTTATGGTTGAACNTATGGCTGAACGAACTAGAATTAGTTTTTAATCATGGTTTAAGCGAAAGTCCAGTTTGGTCTAATTTGCGCTATCCCTCCGGGAGGGTTTGTGTCTATTCTGATTTCTGCAAAAAGGGCGCAAGTTAAACGGATTTTCACCTTCTTCACTTAGTGGAAGGTCCGGTTGTGGAAAAAGCTATTCCGGAAAACCGCCCGTTGGCATTCCATGTCCGCAAGGTCCGTTATTGATTTCTGCCCTGAAAATAGGCCCGTCCAGCCCGTCCAGTCACCTTTATCTATCGCTAGTCTCCATAGATAGAATATGGTGTCTATTCGAGTAATAATGGTCCGTCCGAGCAAGACGTGGGAATTAGAAGATAGGGTATTTTTCCGGATTCCTGATCGGANGAAGAATTTTTTCCCCATGAACAAGGGTACAGAATAATTTCAAGGTTGGATTTTTCACGCGAATCTGCGTTTTCAGGAGAACGAGCTGAGAAAAGCAGTTCTCCCTGAATTACTGTGTACTGTGCAAACTCAGACACCACCAATCGACCTTCTTTGTTATGCAACAGACAAATTTCTAAAAGCTACTTTGTAGGTCATGTGGAGTGACTTGGTTCGCCATTCACCTTGTTGTTTAATGCTGGTTCAATGCGTGTAGGCTGTTAGGAGAACCGTATTGGCCTAGTGACTGCTTGCGAACCACTTGTGTACATCAGCTGATCATGAACGTTCACCACCAAGCTACTATTACAACGGTGATACTACTGATTGGGGAGGCATGCGAGTAGTATGTTTTCTCGTAAATCCGCTTTGCGTCTCTTGAAAAGTGTGGTCTGTTGCGGAATTTGTGGAGTCGCTTTGTAGCATTTGCGTGACGTGACAGTTCAGTCAATCAGTTAGTCATTCAGCCCGCACCGAAGTGTGGTGATTCCCACTGCTACAATTTCTTTCAACGAGGAAAAGGAGTATAAGGGAGTGGGAACCACGCCTCAGAGAAGTGATGACCCATCGTTTTCGAAAAAGTTTGGTGACAATCAGTAGATTTATTTCTGGGCAACGTTTCGCTTTTGACACAAAAGCTTCGTCAGGCCAAGTGGCTAGGTTCCGAGGTTGGTCGAGAATTAAGGCGGAAGGAGAACCAATCAGCTAAGTCAAGCTAAATCTCCGTTGGTTGTCGGCCGAGGGCTTTTCATGTGTTAAGGTGGGTGACCAAGTGTTGGACAGATGGGAACACCTACGTGGGTTTGGGTCCAGCCTAGGGTCTAGTTCTTCTGGTTCGGTTCATTTGACGGTCCCTCTTGAACGTCGTTTGAATCTTCTGTCCGTCTGTGTGGGTGAGCTAATACTAAGATAGTTGTGTAAGAGAGATGCTGTGACCTTTGGTCGGTTTGGGATTTCCACCCCCCATCCCACGGTTTTCGTAATGATTCTAAGTGGATTGACAACCCAGTTTATGCATTGACGACAAATGAATGTCTGTCTGTCCAGCATGGCAGGAAGTGAACGCGATAGCTTTAATGTGAAACCTTCGTTGGCTGCGTGACGTAGCCCTATCTGTCAGGCTTACTAGCCATTGGTTTGTTTTCTTTCGCAGTCACCTAGCATAATATTTGGAATCGACTTTGGGGTTGTAAGGCACCGCTTATGAGTGGATTCATCGGGTGCCCGGATGTGCTTCAATGTTATTTAGCTATCTTATTTACTTGTGGCATCTTTACCAATTTCGCGTGTGAAGTGTTTCGGGCTTGTACTTTAGTTGGTGACCTTAATCATTCTCCTGTGTATGTATGAGAGCCCAGAACCACTTCAGACTGCATACAAAACTGAACTGCAAGAATTCAAGTAGTTTCGTACCTCAGGCTTATACACGGCCCCATCAACAGGCGACAGGGCAGTAATCGATGACAGGCTTCTGCTAGTATCACCCAGTTCTCTTCGTCATTGCCTCCCCTCACTATTTAACCGCCACATGTGCTTGGATCCCAGGTGTGACTACGTCAGCGTTGCACCAAAAGAACTGCCTGTTAGGACGGCATCCATCGTCTTGTGTCTTCTTTTCAGAATTCCTGCTTTCCTCGCAAATTTCACTATGCGGCCACCCGGTGTGAAACCTGCTTCCTGTATCACGTGACAGCCTCGTTCTTATGACGGAAGCCGGTGGACGCACACAACCACGGCAGAGGGTGCTCTGGCGAGCTGGTGGAATAGTATGAACTCCAGCCCTCAGGTCGCAGTTTGGACATCTCTAACTTAGTTCACTAAAAGCCAGTAATTTTCCTGTGGCCATGATAAGCGAACATAAGAACTTCGATGCAATATAATTTATCACGAGCTAAGTCAGGGAGAAGCCGTAATGTGGTTCGACAGCACTTTTTTGAAGACCAACTGATTACCGTATCTAGCGACCAGGATATATATATATATATATAACAAACTTGACAACAGCCTAGTCGTTATGGGAACGTAAGGAAACCGCGTAACAAGTGGGATGATAAAACTGAGTGGATTTTCTGTGTCTGTACATGGGATTTCGTTCATTCTCCAATGTTCGTTGATTTTTGGCTCATTGGATTGGCGAACATCCGTCACATTAACTTCGACGCAGAGCCATATCCCAAAGTATCCCCAGCAAGAAGTGAAAACATGTGGGTATTTCATCCTTATCTTGTCATCGACTAGAATCTGTGTTATCGATGAGGTACCACTTGCAAGCATAGCATTCCGTCGATACTTGGACGTTGGCTGTGCAAGCATTTTTTAGTATTCCACTGTCTGTGATGTGCGTTGATACGGTCTGTCCAACTCAAGAGGAACTCCGACATTTTTCACCGAAATGCGTTACCAGTACTGAGGTACGTCAGATGGTTTTAGGTGGAAGAAACTCTCTCACGATAGATGAATTACGCTGGTTAGGACATATACTCCGCATGCCAGAAGACCGTCTGCCTCGCGGAGCTCTTTTCGCCCAGCCCCGTGCTGAGTGGGAACGACCAAGAAGTGGACAGTGTATGACCTGGCAACGAAGTATGAAAACACTAACCAGGTCGATTCGACAACTGTCACCTCCCTGGACCCCGGGACTTAACTTACCAGTGGTTTATAACACTGGTAGAAATGGCCTAATCATGCAGCCAGTGACGCTCTTGCACCAAGGCTGTCGCCTTCAATGCGCCGGACTAACTGAACACGCCATCGCCTGTAATGCTTAGCTGTGTCTTCCACCGTCACAGTTTCCATCTGGTTTGTAGCTGATAGACGGAACTCAACTGAATTGACTTTGCACAAACAGTTATGATACGGTTACAATAGCGTCTTCTCAATATTTAGACGCGCTTTGGCTTGAACGACCAACTGGGAATTCGCTCCCGAAGTCAACCAATCACATGATTTCCGTGGTTGCTAATTTACTTAGGTTAACAAACGAACACTGTGTTCATGCGTCCAACCAAACTTAACTTTCGTTTCGGACACTATACATTAACCGTGACATGTTTACGATGGGGTTATTGGTCCAACTTTTTAATCCAATCATTTCACTTTCTTTTCGCCCAAGATACTTCATGTGGTGTACGGTGGACTCGCTGCGCTTCTGTTCGGGTTGGTGAGTGAAAGTCTTTGTGAAATTCTCCCAGGCATATTTCTCTTTGTCATCATTATGCCTGGCAACCCTAGTGTTCTCTATTGTGTACGGGTCACAATTCATATCGGAATAACTCAACCGCACGTATAGAGATGTATCCTACAGTTAGTTTCCCCACACCAAAACCAGTTTAGGTGAACGGGAAGCAAATGTGCTACTGAGTTCACTTGATAAGCCTAGTCCAAAGCTTGGTACACGTAGCATTTTGCAAGGTATCCTATCCTTCTGTTTACCTCACTCGTGTTTACTCACACTCATACACGCTGTAGTTTTTCGTGCGTAGTGTACGATTCATGACGTTGGATAGATTTCATACCTGATTGAATCGAGTGACAGTCGAGTGTGAACTGTGGTTCCTCGTTGTGAGCGTGCCGAATCCCGCCTACACACATTATGCCATAGTTATTCACATTTGTATCGAGGTCACTTTGGTTGTTTCACATACTAGGTGAAAGGGCGTACAGTAAACTAGACCTGTTTTTTTTATCTCGGGCGAGTGTACCGTACACTGAAATCGACTCCAGGTGACCAACTCAGGAAGTGAACGGTCCTAGTTTCTGATCTGACCGCATCACTCAACCGCTCGGATCTAGTCGGATGTCATCGAGTCCACGTTTACTCACTCGAGTCACCTGTCAGAATATGACGCTTGTTGTTGCCTGAGTCATTTGTGGCCGGTCTTGTCGAATGGGTGAACTCGGTGGGCTTTCAGCCAAGTCATCTTATAGAGAGAGCGAGCAGTGCTGTCCGGTGCTGCCATTCATAGAAAATTGCAGTTCCGCGACAATGACTGCTATTCCTAACGCATACACTCTGCCTGAACAAAACTACACCCCTGCTGACGCGTGTACCATCCAGGTGTTATTAGTTCTCAAGGCAGAATATTGGTTTTCACTTGGTGATGACGAGGTAAAACTAGAGAATATCATCATACAGAATGGGGACAGGTGTGACGTAGAGAAATGTCGCTGTCAGCCACTGAGCGTTTCGCAGCAACCCCCCCTGGAATAATCAAGTAATTTATAGGGGCAGTATATTTCGCTCATTCATCTATCCGCCTCATGTTGACCCACCAGTTCACATCCATTTTCAAAACTAGTTTAGCCCTCCGTTTTCTTCTCGCCAGTTTTTTGTGCGGACCCACGATTCGTTGAGTTTCTAATCTTCCCAGCCGGTTACTCACACTTATTTGTATATATATATATATATATATATATATATATATTCTCATCTCCCTTCTGCCCCATAGTATCTGGCGTTCGATACGCAAATGATAATGGGCGGCCGTAAACATGAATTGAGTCCGGGGGATATATATATATATATATATATATATATATATATATATATATATTCTCATCTCCCTTCTGCCCCATAGTATCTGGCGTTCGATACGCAAATGATAATGGGCGGTCGTAAACATGAATTGAGTCCGGAGGAATACATCTATGGCGCGCTACAACTCTATCTGGATGTGGTCTATCTGTTCATGATCATCCTCTCGTTGGTCGGTTCGAAAGACTAGTCTCTCCACCGTCCGATTCAGCTCGATCTCCTTCCTATCCTCTTCGCTTCTATTTGTGTGTGTGTGTGCGCGCCCATTATTCTTCATTTCTTCGACGTTGTCCGTTGATTTTCCCTCCACGTCTATGTCTATTCCTGTTGTCGGACAATCCACCTCACACTTTATACTAGTAATCATATTCAGTCTCTTGCTTTTGTTGTTCTCCCACCTTCCTGATCATCGTGCTGTTTGTGACAACATTCTTCGCCCGTTTTTTCCTAAAAAAAGAAAATAGTGCACGGCTTGTTTCCAATCAAACTTCTGATTATGATTTTACGAATGCTACTGATCGATTATATCTTCACCCGACATTTGTTGACACGAGTGTTACATACATACATTCTTTTTTCGCTCCTTTCTAGTGGTCCATGTTTTTGTTGACCAACTGTGTTCACCAATCAGGTACAGTTGGAACAAGCTTTCCCAGTTCAGCGTTCCACTAAATCGACGCACTGTTTGCTGTATTTCCTAAACTCGTTGGTCCGTACAACACTGTATCAATGTTGACTCCAACGGAGCGGATTCCGCGTTACCACACGCACAAAAAGTCTCACTAGCCACACTTTGTGGGAGTGCACCTGGACAGTTTGCTACAGTTCGGTATGAACTGTTTCTTAAAGGGAGTTCACGGATTCTTGTCTTTCAGTTAATGAGTTGGACAACCTTCTACGGGTGTGAACATGGGGGAAGAGGTACACTTTGTTCTAATGATTTTATGTGAATTCGGAAGAACTTACCACCGCAATTCACTACATCGACGTGTGGGACATTTCATGGGTCCTGTTTTTCGACCTTTCTGAAGGTGTATAAATGGGCAATGAGGACAGTCAAGCGCCCGTTCACTAGATTAGATTATTTTTTCGCTTGTTGCATCAATGTCGTAATGTAGGTCGGTTGCAGCAATTTCCAGTTGGATTTCCTCGGTTTGGCTACGTGATTTTCACCAACTAGACCGGTTGGATAGGATCAGCGATGCAATCTTGAGTCTGTGAATATGGTTTTGTTGGTATTGTGAGGAGATTTGGGATTTTTGTGGGATTTCGTCCTGTACGTAAAGCCAATCTATGCTGAAAAGTCAAGAAGCACTGTACCGCTGTTTCATCCTTATTGGGAATCATCAGCAGTGCGCAAATCACGAAACTCCGAAGAGTCTCGACCCCGCGGCCTCCCGGCTAGTAGTTTGAACACTTAACCGTTCGGCCACGAGTGGCTGATCAGAAGTGTGATTATATCGCACTTAGACAGGACATAGCGCCGCTCATCCTTCAATCACGGGATCCACATCAGGCGGTCACACGTGTTGACTGGCTCCTCGAGCAACGACTTCTCAGACGGAAGTTTCACTCATCGGGTGAAGGTTGCAGGTTCGAGGCTCTCCAGGGTTTCGTGATATGCTTCTGTTTCTAGGCGTGTGATTAGACCGGTAAACAGATAATCTCATGGGCTACCGGAAGCTTGTAGTTCATGCTTGCCTTGATGAACCAACGATGTTTTTTCCTAGTCCATGTGTCTGACTAACAGTCGTCAGCAAAGGTGACGGAAACAAGTAATTGGAGGTCTTGAGGTCGTTGTTAGTTGATAACAATCCTTGTCGTCAATCGTCTCCGTTCAGATTTTCACCCGGTTGGTCCACTGTCGCATTTCGCGGAGATACCGTACACTTGGTTTTAAATGGACAGCGTTGTGTCAAGATGGTTTATGCTCACGCTATGAAGCTATGAAGGCGGTTTTTAAGTCATTTACGGGATAAACTGATTGGAGTGGGAACATCTACTCCAAACTTATGAAGAACCCTACGGGAACCTACACTAGCAAGTGACCTTTGGGTAGTGTAGCCGAATGCTTGCGTATGCTCACGGAGGCGTCGAGCGACGGATGATCCGCAGGGGATGAGGCCACGCAGTCTGATGGTAATTGCTTTAGTCACCTTAAAGAGCACGACCGCGTCGATCTGAGTCGAGCGACGGATGATCAGGTATACAATTTTGTCCGCAGGAGATGGGGCCACGCAGTCTGATAGTAATTGCTTTAGCCACCTTAAAGAGCACGACCGCGTCGATCTGGGCTAGCTCGATTGCTTTTTAAGTCGCTTGGAAGACTCAGGTCGAAATTATGGTTCGCTTGTAAGCCTGCATTTTTGTCACCCAGCCCATGCGAACCTACATAAACACGATCCCAGATACAATTAAGATCCCTTTTCCGAGGTCCTAAGTCACTCTACCCGATGATTTACTGTAATGCTTTAGTCTTTACCCAATCGGCAGCGTCATTGTGTACTATTTTCTGCTGTTGACCGTTCTCCTACCCCATTCAGGTATTTCATAACTCGAGATGCCTTGGTGATTAAGGCTCGATCCGAAAGTCCATGGTTCGAGCTCTCCATCTCAGTCTTTTCTTTCCAAGTCTGGGAAACTTGGCAGTATCTTGACTCTCGTCACCGAAAGGATGGTGCACCTGGGCCATTCATTTATTCAATTATTTCCAATATATTCAGTAGTATGTACCCATATACTGGAGAGATCCGGGTAGTAGTGGTTGGAACTATGTATTCGCCAATCTGATTATTTTCCACATCCTCTTAGATCACCTTCCAAATGCATGCGGAAGGGGTGAATAGTTTCCAGTAGAAACTGAGTAATCCTCAGCTGTATCTGAGACGCTCGCTCTCGAAAATATCCTAGCGAATCGGACCGTTGGGTGAAATACCTCGAAGACGCACACGGTTCTGGCGGTTCCCATTGTTTTTTACAACGGAAGTGAAGTCTCCGGGTTGAAAGTACTTTGTTTCCGTCAGATAGGTTCTACGAAAGGGTGGTTCTTGACAAGTGGAAACAAGACGACCACGTGGCTGACCGTTTCATCCGTCTGCATGACTTGCGATGACACACGGGATAACGCCAATTATATAGGGTTCCGCCCATCCGAGGCAATTTGAAAGTCGACTGGCATATGCAACTCGCAACACTTGTTGCTGTGACCGCGGGGAGCATCTCTGCGCTGAGGACAGCGAAACCGAGAATTTACTGATTCAACGGGCGTTAATCATCATGTGATATGACGCACCTTAAAAACACGTTTGTAAGAATGTGTGGAATGCAGGATACTAGTTTGCTGAAGATATTCCGTGTCCTGTCCTCAACATGAAAATTAAACAAAGGGTCTAAAACCCAGATTGCTCCTTTTAGATTTCCACAAATAGTTGTGTTTGCAAACTCTGACAAACGGTATGTTCTGTTCAACAACTCGTGAGGTCTTGGACGGTTCGGTGTAACGGCTATTTTCCATGCACATTGACTCCTGTATTCCATTAACAACTTGTGTTTCGTCAAACGGTTTATGCGGGTTCCTCAGCCATGATACACAAAATTTGACAGTAACAGATGAAGCGATCATACAAAGCGTCGGACGAGTACAATTATGAGGCAAACTAGAACGTACAATCGGTCCGGTCACACACATTAACTTGAATTCGTGAGATGCTGTCGGAAATGATCCAAACACTTGGTGTTTAAGAATTTGATACACTGAAAATAATCAATGACACACATCAATCAATCATAGGTGAGGCAAAAATTTTTCATACTGAATGGGAGAATTGTGATAATGCTTTCGGCTATTCTCTTGTTATTTCATTCGCATCATTCACTCCCAAGTTTTTTCGTGGACATTCAAAATGTTCCCCACCCTGCTTGATATAATGCTAGCTAGCTAATTTGTGCTTAATCGATGAGTTATCATGCGTCTGTTACATTGAAGACGCCTGAGGAAAACGGTTGGAATGACATAAAACTCATGGTTGGTCACGTTTGGGAACATTGTTCAACAGTCCGCGGACACGGGAGATTCCGGGTGTTCAACAACTCTGATTTAGTTGTGCAGATGCAGGAACGAGAACAGGTTACTTTGTTGTTCGTGCGGATTGTTTTCAATGACTGAATTGATCCAATCGGTGAAGTAGGAAACTCGTGTGAAAATTGCCGGAAAATCAGCTGGTTGTTTCGAATGAGTGGCAGACACAACTCCGGCCAACTTCATCTCCCCATCGATGGCCTGGCAGACCAAAGGTCCACCGCTGTCACCCTGAGGGTCGAACCAAAGAGAGGAAAGGAAACAAGAGAAGGTGAGCTTTTGGGAGTATGAATTGGGTGCACGTACGTGATGGTAAAAAGGAAAAGTTTGCTAAATATACAGTGTTGTGGACCACAGTCTCCCTGATGCCATCTTATTACCATGAACCTCGGTCTGGATAGCCGACTGATAGACTAGTGCGCTTGGCCAAACCAGAAGAAGTCAATGAACGTGCGAACCGGCTGATCTAATAAACACTGTCACGTACAAGCGGTCAAAAGTGATACTAAGAACACAACTCATCTGTCAAGGACGAGCGAAGAACAACCAATGAAATCCGTCTCAACGAAAACGGTTATTCCATTGGCTGTTACGTAGTCCCGTTCGGAGCTGGTTCTCCTAATATACAGTTTCTATGCTATTATCAAACCATTCGTAACTGTCCCTGTGGTTCAGTTGACAACATGATGTCAGGCCAAAACTGGTGCCTATTGAAAGCAGCTAACTGAAAATCGTCAGTCTAAAATCCTGAAGCTGACTTGTCTAAATTTGGTTGGCGCACTCATAGTTCGAAGCAGTGGTTCCTAACAGGGATATTAGACAGGTTTTCGGATGACACTAGTAAGCTAAATTACCTTGTTAGGCATGAAAATATAAATCGAGATGAACTCGCATATTTTCAGAGCAATATGAGCATTCTTAAAAAACAGTTTCCATTCATCATCGTCACCTACGTTAACATCGATTGACCGTCAGTAGAAACTGGTTCCCAACCGCCACGCAACAGTGGTAAAAGAGGCCACAGTAAAGTAAAAGAAAGAGGGGAGATTTTGGAATTAATTTCAACGCTCTCTTTAGCTTTCAATAGCATTCAACGAAACACATCTGAGCCCTGTACCAGTGTGGGATGTCACCGGTGGCTTTGAATCAGTGCTGTTCGGGGACCTCACACAATACACAACTGGCACGCAACGACAAAACAGCTTCAACTAGGTAGTCGAGCTAAGAAATGTTTTAGGTGAGATCTATCACCAAAGCCGATTTACTAGGGCCAAGAAGCCCAATCCACACGCGGCTGGCCAGAATGGGTCCAGCATCAAGGCCAGCTCTCATTGGCCCAAATTTTGGACCAAACAGCCAATCAAGATTCAGTATCCACCGAAAAGCGGCTGCCGCGTCCGGAAAGCATCGGAATTTGCAGAATCTTTTCGCCCCATACAGTTTAAATGCGACGCGATGTACATGTGTTTTCGACCCGGGTTAGGCGTTAATACAATCCTGCTCTTTTGCCGAAAACCTGAGGTTGGAAGTTTCAGACAGAGAACTTAGCTGAGGCCTTACTGTCAATACAAAGTGGCAGCATGCTGGCCACTAAGACTGCCCGTCAATCATCTTCCAGCCACATGTGAGAGACATCACGGGAGCCCCAGCAAATAAGGCGCGGAGATCCGTCGGTGCCCAGCGTGACGATATACATTGGTTGCGCATGCTTAAGAGACCATTTGACAGCGGATTTGCTACAACCATGTAATGCCCACCATTTTGCGAAGATATCGGTGAACCAATGTTCGCAAACGATTGACGTCTTCTGGAAAAAACCGAGTCTCGTCAGTGCATCGGAACTGTCCTCACAGACGTTTTGCAGCTACGACCCTTTGGCTCCAGTGAATTCCGTTTCCGAGACAAAAGATGGTGATTGTAGCCCATTCCATGATAATGCCTGTGTTAAACTTACCCACCACGGTGAACTCATGATGCAGAAACCGGTTAACGAACTCAGTTTCATCGCCTTGAGACTTCTATGGGACATAAGGGGATGGGATGAAGTTCCAAATCAAACAGTGTCCTCCATAGATCATCCAGCTTCACTAGTATTTCTCATGCTGTGATTTCGATCCCTTGAATCGAATATCCCATTACAGCAGTAATAAAATGGAAAAGAAAGACGCTATCGAGTAGTATACTCCGCCAAAAGAAAAACGGATAGCTTTTGGATGACTTATTGTAAACCTCAAAGGGACCACAGATCATTCAGATGTAGCACCGTTTCGGTGCCTAACTGCCATGCCACCAGAAAGAAGCACGAGGGCTTGGATATTGCCGGGTTGCCCAAGCCTAGACAGGGAAAGTCGAGAGGTGGAAGTCAGGAATCACGGACCTTCCGGTCAGTCAATTTGCGCTCTAACCACTTGGACCATCTCGCCCCAAATATGAGGACCTAGTCCACAAAGACTATCTGGAAACTCCGAGGCCACTCGCGTTAGTCGACTCCATTTTGAAGAGCCGTAATCGCTTATCGATACTACAGACAATTCTGCTAAAGCACGTGACGTTTTATGAAAATGTGAATCCTCAAGTTGAAATCCTGAGTATTACTCAGGCTTTTCGAATGTTTTCAACGGTATCTTCACTTTTGTTTTTGACGCCCATCTCGTTGACTCCAGATGAACCAGCTGCATGTTGCAATATCACTGACGGTCGATTTGTTGAACACCCTTTTTTTCGTTCAAATGGAACATCCACACGTGAGTAACAATGAAACCAATATTACCTTGAAGTCAGTGGAATGATGACACTGTTCTTTGTCATAAAGGAAACGACTCACAAGGTTGCTGAATACTCTTCGACAGCCCACGACGGGTTTTGCTCTTCTTCGGGCTCATCAGGTAGGCGTATTCCCCGAGTTACCGTAAACCTTATGTTCTACTTGAACCCAAACTAGACTGTTTTCAAGAAATACACTCATTTGCAAATCAATTTGTACACTGGTTGTTCATCAGATGGCTGTTGATCTGTTCGCCGAGCTTGGCAATTGGCGAACAGATCAACAGCCATGTGATCAACAACCAATAAACTCACCCCAGCTACCAATATTCCACCGCATTACCAATTTGTTCACTGTCGTTTGTTATGTATAGAAGCAAATCAACGTGGAAATACACATGGCTTTGTGTTCGCCTCAAGTCTGTTGGTCAGATTCAGTGGAAGGCAAAGCATCCGGATATTCGGAAATTCCAGTGGAGATTTCGGCCTCCAAGTAAAGTCAATGTACACGGAAAAGCTGAGAAGCATTGTCCAGCTCACTGGGAATCATCAGCAGCGTGCGCCTCACGAAACTCAGATAGTTTGGGACCTGAAAATTTCGAGGCAGCGGCGAGATGGTTAGAGCACGAATTTACTGACCGGAAGGTTTGTGCTACGAACCCGTCCTCTGCCTCCCGACTTCCCCTATCTTGGCTTGGATAACCTGGCCGTACCCCAGCCCTCGTGCTTCCCTCTGGTAGTCTGACAGTTAGGCACCGAAAGGATGCTACAGTTGAATGATTTTTCCACACTCAACTCTTCGGTCACGAGCAGCTGAACAGCAGTATGATTAGCCCTTACTTAGGCAGGATACAGCAACATTCATCCTTCAATCACAGAAACCAAATCAAGTTGTCGTTCGGGTGACCAAATCTCACCACCTCCCGGTTGGTAGCGAAAAGTCAAATTGTTCCCCGACAGGTGGCTGATGAGAAGTTTGACGAACTTACGTTTAGGATATAGCGACATTCATTCTAAGTGCAAGTTAATCACACCGCTGGTCTGTTAGCCTCGATGTTGCGATTTCGAAACTCTCTGAGGTTTTCTTGGATGCGCATTGTCGATGAGCCCCAACGGAGATAAAACTGCCGCACAGTGCTCCTCGGCACAGACTGACTTCAATGACAGGACGAAATCTCGCTTAGAAACAGAGTTTGACAGGCTTCTATGACCTTCTTCAACAAAACCACATCTGTCGAGTAAAGTTTGAAGATAAACAAAAATCTGCCGCGCTCCACAGCGGTCCTTTCTATTAGGCAGACTAATACAAGCTTCTGATGTGGGCGCAGTCAAGACGAACAGTTCGATTGCAAAGAACTCAGTGACGTTTTCATAAAGGAAACTATTCACAACCCCTTCGATACCCCACGACCGGTTTCGCTCTTCCACTTCGGACTCATCAAGTAGGGGCGCAGTCCCCGGGTGTGCTGCACTCAGGCCGCCTCATGTTTCAGTTGGCACGATATTTGAGATATCGCAGTATATTTTCATAGAGAAAACTACTCAAAAGGTTGCCAAAGAGTTTTCAGCAACCTTGTGAGTAGTTTCCGCTATAGAAAAATCTGCCGTGTTCCACAGTGGTCTGTTCTATTAAGCAGACTGATACAAGCTTCAGGTACGGGCACAGCCAAGACGAACAGCAAAGAACGCAGTGAAGTGTTTCATGGAGGCCTAAGAGTGTGAAAAGAGATGACGCTCTTATAACGGGTAACTACGCAATCCGGGAAGAGAGTTTGCGTTTTATCGAAATCAATCATCCACTGATCGGGGTTCGGTTTGATCGTGATATTGCCATAGACCGGAGCGACAACAGGATTGTATGCTATCCATCGCCTATTACATAATTTAGTATGGAGGTCAGCCGAACTATACATTGTAAATAGGAAAACATTCAGAATAAATGCAAAACAACGGTAATGGAGAGCGACCTCCGATGATTATCGACGTTCCCAGGTTGGCATACTATTCAGTCTGTTTCCTGTAACCGTTGTTCCGGACGGCTTAGAAACGAAAAGGGAACCGAGAAGCAAACACTCACGGGACAAATCCCCTTGTTCCCATTGTGGTACCCGGCACAGAATTCATGTGTTGTGGTCAAATTGATGTAGGCCGAGTACATACGACGACAGACACTGGGGGACAGAACAGGCAGTTCGATGAATTGACCCTTCATGGAAGGAGGACCTTCGGCAAAACTGCATCCCCAGCCCACTGCAATGCAAGTCTGGAAGAAAAAAGGACAAAGTGGAGAGGTGTTGTTATCCAGGAACTGTCTCTCTCTCTCGGTGTTTCACCGTCTTCATACCTGATGGGTGGTCTGTAATAAGGTGTCAATTTTATTCAAAATGTGAAATGAGTAGAATTCACTATTTAGTGATGGGGCTTACTTTTATAAACTTTTCTAAACTTTATGCCTGGGGACCCACAAGCAGACTGGAAAGGAAGAATGTCGGTCTAAGTTATAGGGAAAATTAATAAGGCTAGTGAATTTTCCGATTCGGGGCAAGGTTAACACTTTTGTTGGTGGTTAAAAGTACTCAAGCTGGTGGTCCATGGTGAACTTGTAACCACGGCCTTGTTCAGCCCCTCCCTTTATCTTCTTTTCGACCCAGCCTCACATGAATGATTGAAATGGCAGTGAATTTTCTGGCAAAAAAAACAAGTTAAAAAGGGAAGACGTGAGGGGGGTATATACTTCACAAAAGTTAAACAGAATAGTGAGCATTTACTTGTCCTCTTCACCAAGTTTTAAAGAATCCATTTCTACACCCCATCTTCTGTCAGTCTCATCAACTCTGAGTCACAAAACGTTGATCACAAAACCGCTTTTCAGGTTAATTTTGCACGTCTACCAGGAACAATTGGTCACGTGACATCTGTGTGCTGACCATCACCTGATTGTCGCACTTAGTCTGCCCTCCCACTGCCAGCAGACCGAAAACCTAACTCAAAGAAACCATATAAACTGTTTAATAGGGACCTGAGATATTCTTTACATTCTTTGTATTGATTTTTGTTGCAAAATACTTTCATTTGCGGCTAAAAACACAACTATGTCAGTTTAATTGAGCTTAGGTTTGTTGGTTCAGATTGGTGCATGTAGTGTGATGCTCGAACTCAAAGGAGTCAATCCCCGTATATAATATCGTCTCCAATTCGTTGACTTGAACCTTAGAACAATGTCGAAGTTCTTCTTTACAATGAAATCAGATGTCTTTTTGCATAGGTTCAATAGAATCGAAATCGCTCAGCTCTAACACCATTTCGGTGCCTCGCTGCCAAGCCAACGGAAGGAGGCATGAAGGCTGGGATACTGCCAGGTTTCCAAAGACTACACGGGCTTTTAATTTAAAAAAAATAAGTCAGCAGATGAGTCTCAACCACACCGGATGGCTGTTCACTGTCCATAAACTGCCAGACGCTTATTAATTCACAAAAATGAAACTTGATAAGTTCATGACAGTCGACCTGACTAGCGAGTGCCTGAACTGTACGACAGGACTCCAGTCCCATTCTGTCAGCATTCGACTATGCGCGGGAATAAGCTAGTTCATTAGAGCAAAACATTTGTACTATAAGCTTTTTTAATAAACAATGTCCAGCAATGTAATTCTCTCCCATTATGAAATAGTTATTGATCATCTTCCAGGATGGATTCACCATGTGACTGTGGAATGAAACGTTCCTGCAGGAACCGCAATTTCGCCGGCCGAGGACCTTTCTGTGGGAGAGCGCGAGCTGCATTGAATTCTTTCAGTCCTTCTACCCATATGAGATTTCGCATCCTGTCACCGGGGCCAATCTACGCTGGAAAGTCAAGAAGCATTGCATAGCACTTTCACCCTTCTTGGGAATCATCAGCAGTGCCCGCCTCACGACACTCAGTGTTTCGAACCCGTGACCTTTTGGCCGGTGGTTAAGACTCAAACTTTCGTTCTTGAGCGACTGAACAACAGTGTGATTACCTCTCACTTACAATTTTCCCCAAACAGTTAATATATATTTAAAGTGAGTCTTTACCTTACTTGAGCAGAATATTTTCGGTGACGCTATTACTACCAGAACGGTTGGTACTCAACCTGGAATTCCCATGACAAGAAGTCAGAGGAACCGGCTAAAAATGGTCATAATGAAGGACTTTTATTTGTTCTTTGTGGAACTTACACTTTGGAAGGATTTTACTCCTTACTTTACTAGATTAGATGCGATTTTAGTACGTTCTCTTCTGAAACGTCCCAAGAAGAAGCAACAAATCATATTCTTACGAAAAGTTTCTTCATCATCATCATCATCGACAGCATGACATCCATGTCCAACACCGATGACCACTGCCGTACAACCATGATTTATTTGAAAGCCTTATTGTAGAGAAAAGAATAAAGTTGGATGGGGAAGAGACTTGGTACTAGCTTATCACAATCACTCCGAGGTACCTACACCTCCAGACATTCACTCAGACAATCTGGATAGAAACTGACCACAAGAACGCCTCATGACAAAACAAAAACTCTACTGGCCCACCCACGCCAGAATTACACACAAGTACTCCTATCAGTTCACTCATTAGAAATATCGATTGGAGTGGACATTATTCTTAGAAAAATCGATTTCCTATGACGCAAGCAAGTATTTTCTGCGATAAGTTGTAAATAGGAATCAAGTTTGCGGTCACGGCAGCCAAAACGCCCACTCGGACAGAAATAGAATTGACTCTCAAGTCTGATATTTTCGGCTCTCGGATTGTTTACTTCTGTGGTCACGTGAAAACGAACGATCTAGCCCCAATACTCAGTGGTACCGATAGTGTTTGTGTTCTCAGACTCATGTATCATTTAACCGACTGAAAACGCTTCCACCAGCGACAGTCGCGTACAGCTGCCAGAATCAATGCCCATGCCCTGGCCGAATGCCGTTTGACTGTACTTTAGAGCCTGTCTGGTAGTACAGCCCGTGTAAGCCAAGTATTGATCGATTCGATTTGTTCTTATCGATCCAACACTCCTGCCTATTAGAAATGTAAACAATGTGACGAGATAGTTGACGTTGATGTTTATACTTGTAAAATGAACAACAATGGAGCCTGAGTGTAAAAAACACGATAAAACGCGCGCACTGACGATGTCTCCTCGACTGGGGACGAAACGTTTGCAAGCCGATTGCCAAGCTCGGCGAACAGATCAACTGCAATCCGATCATCCACCAGTACTACTCATAAGGTTGCTGAAAATCCGTTGACAGCCCACGACCGGTTTCGCCCTACTTGGGGCTCATCAGGTAGGCGCAGTCCCCGGGTTTCCGTCAACCTTATGTTCCACTTGAAACCAAATTGCCCGAAATTAGGGAATATACACTCATTAACGAACTAATTTCGTTTTCACTGTTTTTTTTGCGTTGAACAAGATTGTTAAACCTGTCACGTTAGGTTTATCAGGACTGTGGCGAGTTTGAAAGGGCACCGGATAACTGTATTTTAACTTACAATTCCCAGACAACTGATGTATTCTGAGCTGCCACGCCAGTGATTTCAGTCCGTTGAACTGAAATTATTTTACTGGTCAGTAAATTACTAGCGGATCCTTAATCTATCCACTTGCCACTGTGTCAGTCATTTAGTTTGTGAATACGGTGGAAACCCTGTATAGGGGATCCTCTTGGAAGAGTCAAACGTCTCGAAGTTGTTCTACCACTGAGTTTGATAGTTATAAGGAAAATAACTCCCAAAAAGATCTATTTAATTCAATTGTTCCAGAGGGTGTTGTCACGAATGATTATTCATGGGTAAAGTGTTGCAGTGAACAGTAGTCAAGGTCTCAAAAGGGAACATGGAGGCCTTTGACGTTAAATGAATTCAACCTACCTGTTGTTGAAAGAAAGTTGGGAAGCTGTACTATGATCGTCGCAGTCGGAATACGGTGATGCTAGTCAGGGGAGTTTGATTTGGAAGAAGAACGTGATTCTCGAGACTTTGCTGTACATCTAAACGTCCTTGATTAGATGTTGTACTCACTATTTAATGCATCATAAAGTACAACCATTTGATAATTTCCAGAGCCGGCTGGTACGTGAGCACGTGATGTAGTTCCGTGGACTGAAGGACGAGTGACGCTGACAATTAATCATACCGCTAATCATCCGCTCGTGGTCATACGCCTGAGTACAACAGACTACTGGCCGGGAGTTTGCGAGTTAGACAGTCGATATAATTTGATCAGATTCGCACTGCTGATGATTCCAAACAGGGATTGAACAGATATCCTACTCTTCTGAACTTTTTACCCCCACTTACAGTTGCGCGTTTTTCACTTTGAAAATTTAATCGATAAATGGCATCAAGTTTTATCCAGATCATCGACCCAATACATTCATTCACCGTATAACAGGATTAAAAAAAGTAAATTAGCTGGTTACAAGGGTTCATTCAAAATACAGTTAGAGCTGGACAAAAAGTCTACAGTTCAAGAAGAACCACACAGAAATCATCTATAATCGGTATTCAAATAGAAGTAAGCTCAGTTCACAATAGGTTCTACACAAATTTGTAAGTCGCTTTGTATAGTTTTCTAGTCCAGTGATGGCCTTTTGTGGCGTGGTCGAGCCAAGCTGACGGCGTATTTCACTTACAGTCCTTAGCGAATCATGTCAGTACACGGTTCCACCAGTCGTTTTAATCCAGATGACTAGTTGATTGTTACTTCATTGCGCCCAGGTGAACTGATACGTTTGAGATCATTCTGTGGCACAGCAGTGAACAGAAAGTATTTTCCATCCGAGAGTGAAACCAATTTCCACTGATCTTTCGGAAAATGGCACCACTTCAGCTCGGATATCTAGGTAACTTGACAAGCTCCGCTGCTCAAATGAGTTCGCGAAGTTTTGTTGTCCCAATCAGGTTCGTTTCATCTTGAAAATTGCCGTTCCAGGACTTCAGGCCACCTGGTTTAGTCTCTTGGAAGATATATACGTATGATGAACCCTTGGAAGGACAACGCCATTAAAGAGACAGTTACGCGAAGCCGATTTTTCTGAAGCGTTCCAAACGGCGAACAATCACACGTAACATACTACTCATAACGTTGCTGAAAACAGCCTGCAACTGATTTCACCCTTCTTGGAGGTGCATTCGCCGAATTTCCATCAACCTTATGCTCCAGTCCAACTCGAATTTCACAAAAGTCAACTGCAGTTTGATTTTCATGGGAGACTCACCTCGAATATGGTATTAAGCGAAACGTGAGGTGGCATGGTGCTGTGCACTATAAACGGTGGATTTAGCTGGACTACAGGTGAGTCTCCCGTCAGAACCAAATTGGTCTACAGATGAGTGTATTGATCAATGGATAAGCTCACTCACACTTTTTTAATGCAGAGCACAGCTTGATTGACTTACAGACTGAACTTGAAATCTAACACCGACTTTCCATATGTTCGCCCAGCTCATCAGTATTTCGTTCTCAGGCTGTGTCAGCCAAAACTGATGACAAGACGTTTACAGTCCAGTAACCAAACTTAGTGGACCAATAGTAACTTGAAAAAATGTTGGCGAGATGGCTCAGTGGTTAAAGTGTGAATTTACCGACCAGAAGGTCTGTGCTACGAACCCGACCTCTGCCTCTCAACTTTCCCTGTCTAGACTTGGGCAACTTGGTAGTTTCCCAGTCTTCGTGCTTCCTTTGGGTGGCTTGGTAGCTGGGCACCGAAAGGGTGTTTTAGTTGAACGATTATTGGCTTTTCGATTCAGAAAAAATGTTCCGAATGCCAGTATTTCGAATCGATGTTTCACAGAACTTCACTCACTTCCTGGCTTTCAGTTATGGGAGTAATTCCCTACATTTATCGCACCGTACGTGCTCGGTGGGCTGCAAATCACTGGCTAAACCAATGTTAAGCGATTGCGGAAAAGCGAACCTAACAACGTGTTGCGATAGATAGATGGATAGATAGATAGATAGATAGATAGATAAACAGAAGCAAACGTACTTGCCCGGCAGCCGGCCATCTGTCACCCCACATTGGATCGGGAAGTTCAACCAATCCCAAACCCGCGATTTTTCGCAACACAGGTTCTTCTTTCAGCTGGAAGAGTGCAATGTCATACTCCAGGTCACCTGTAACAGGATGAAACGAGATGGTCTCAGTCAGATCAGTAGTATGATTGTCGGAGAATTCACCCAAGGAAGGCAGAATTGACGCGGACAGAAAACCATTCAAATTTGTTAGAAAGACCATCACACACCCTAGCATTGTCATGTGTTAGGTTTCCATTCTATCAGGCCCTTTTCAATTATCTTTCTCCTGTTCTTCGTAAGCACTGCGCTCCGAAGGACATTTAAACGCCTCGTTGTAGAAGCCCTAATCATAATATTAGATACAACTGTCTTGCTGGCAGAACATATTTGGACAAATAGGGTCACCAAGATTGAAAGAACGAATTCTGTTCCGAAGTCCGATAGACTTGTAATCATTTTTTGCCTTTGAGTGAAGACGAACGATGATAGCCATCTTGTCACAGTTGGTGTTCCACGTTCGGCATTTTTGTCTTGACTATATTCTCTGTAGCTTGGTTCCTCTCCCTACATTTATGACAAGATAAACACCACATCTAAAGTACAGGGTGATCAATCAAACGAATCTCAGAGGTAGATTTCACTGAAAGCAGAGAGAGGACGGATTTCAACCCGCGGTGAATGGAGACGATTTCCGAGAGCAGGTGGTTTTCTTCCCCAAAATCAAACGAACCAAACACCCTGACCAGTGCAGACAACTTTGTCCTACTTGAGGCTCACTCGGTGGATCGGATATTTTTCGGTTCTTACCGAATGAGTAGGCCAACAGCTGGCGCAGATTTATTTCTAAAACATGACGAAAATTCTTGAGTAGCCTAAGAAGATCTCGCCATTTGGCATTCATCGCATCCTGGGATAGTAATGGGTCAATGGCCCAACTGGAAAAAGAAGCATACCAAGCGAGCCGTTTGTATCACGGCTGATTCTAATGAAAAAAACATAGTAGTATGTTGCGGCCAAGTGCCTGGATGCACACATCTTCGAATAAAAATTCGGTAACTGTGTTAACCTGGAGAACTCCAGAACGAAGATGGGATTTTGAGTTAACGTTAAAAGAGTTACCGGACTAAGTGTTGCAGTTTCATGGATATAACCGCTGATGTAACACTGGACTGCCTTTGTTCAACAAATCACAGTGAGAAACACTACAAACAAAGGGGGTTCGTTTGATTGATTTGGGTACTTTCGATTGAAAATTTAAAAAAAACATCAGCAGAACAGATGTACTAAGCAGCTTTAATTCCATCCATACTAATATCAAAGTTACTATCGAATCAGAACAGAACGGATGTCAATGGATGTCAATGTTAAAAACAAGATTGACGGGACCGTAGAACGCAAGGTCTACAGAAAGCAAACGTGGAAAGGTCAGTATATTCACTTTGGTAGCTCCGTTCCGTTGCAACAAAAGCGCAACCTATTTAGATGCCTGACAGAGAGAGCAATGAAGATATGCTCGCCCGACTGCATAGAAGAGGAGCTAAGGTTCTTGGGACGCACATTACTGCAGGACGGATATCCTGAAAGGTTCGTACTCAAGACTGTGGAAGCCGTTAAGCCCTAAGCTACACAATGTTCTGTTAGAAAGAAGCCCGTATACATGAGGCTTCCATTCAAAGGTGACTCAGAACTAATCACCAGAAGGCTTAGAAACTCCGCTGATACGACATACTTGGCCGCTAATCTATGTTTGAGCATCAACTCCATCTCCACTATCAAATTCTGATTGACGGACAAATTGCCACGTTCTACCACCAAATTTTGTGTGTTTTGAGTTGTATGCTCGTGCCGAGCATCATACGTTGGTCGTACGACAACGCATTGGTCGGACAGACTACGAGAACACAATCCCGTATCTCTGAGTGGTAGTGGGAAGCAACCAGGCTCAAGCGCAATTGCATCACATTTGGCCGAAACCAGTCATGTCATAGACAAGGAGCAAGCCTTCACCATCATATACCGGGTACCTCTGAACGGATCACGACTGGTAAGATCCAGACTACTATCGACTGCAGAGGCGATTGGAATCCGACTGCTGGGTCCGCAACTTTGCATCCAAAAGAAACTTGTGGGACCTCTGAACTTGAACTGGCCTACGAAACACCTGATCCCACATGTCTGTCTGATATTGGCGTCACTTACCTGGTTCCGTGACCCATTGATCTATCCCTCATCCAACCCCCTTACTTTGATTCCTATTTCTCTAAAGTGTATGTAACCCAGATCTTAAACTTTTCCACGTGATTTCTGCTACCATATAAATTTGTGATGTATTAGCCAAGAGGATCAACCACAGAAAGCAAGTTTCGTTCGCTACCTTCTTCGTTCTCATGATTGAAAATTCGTCCTGCAAATGAAGTCAGCCTATAATGAAAAGCTGAGAAGCACTGCACAGATGTTCCATCCTTATTGGAACTCATCAGCGTTAGGCATCTCATGAAACGCCAGGAAGTTTCGAACACACCATCCGATGCCTAGTAGTTGATGAGTAAACTGTTTGGACATGAGCAACCAATGAGCAGCGTGATCTTTCCCCACTAAAACGTTACACAGCCTCCTTCATCGTTCACTCCTGGAATCCACATCATGTAGTCACGTGTTGGCTGGATTCTCAGATGACTTCTCATACTTTACTCATCATCCTCATAGACGGTTAGTAGTGTAAGAAGATTTGACATCAGCTTCTCGTGGTCACTGGACTGGCGAATACGACAATAATCGTAATGAATCCTCATCATTGTCAGACATTGCGAAATGTCAATAAGACAGAAGAAGCGAATATGTACTCATTTGCAAACTAATTTGTTTTTTTGAGAGACTCACTAGGAGAGGTTTAGCTGGATTTCAGGTGAGTCTCTCGAAAAACCAAATTAGTTTGCAAATGAGTTAATTTCGTGCAATTTGGTTTAAAGTAGGACATAAGGTTGACGGAAACCCGGGGACTGCGCCTACCTGATGAGCCTCAAAAAGGGTGAAACCGGTCGTGGGCTGTCGACGGATTTTCAGCAACCTTTATGAGTAGACAAGACAGAATATGCTTCCACGAAACAAGTCATGTGTTAAGTAGAAGGGCGAAGACAAATTAGTTGGATTTAAAATCTCGTTAGCATAAAACAAAGACGTACGATGTAATGCAAGCGATTTTTCACTGTTTGTATCAAAAAGGGTGGTGAAAAAGACTGTCCGTTCTCTTCTTCATTGAGACTATTCAAACAGTAGCTGAAAACCCCTCGGCACCGCACGGGTGGTTGAGCTCTTCTTGTTGCAAATGAGGGCATTTGGTGAATCGCGTCCATTTTGTGTTGAACTAGAGTATGAAGTTGAGAGAAGCTCGAGGAATGCGCCCACCTGATGAGCCCCAAGGAGGACAAAACCGGTCGTGCGCTGTCGAAGAGTTTTCAGCGACTTTGTGAGTAGTGTGTTACGTCTGTACAATTTATTGCGATTTCTCGAATACCGTACCAACTGAAATAGGAGTCGACTTTGTGCAGTACATTCAGTTGAAGAAAAGGCTTCAAGCGGGTTTTAGTTGAGTCTCTCGTGAAAACTAATTTGGTGAAGAGATGAGGGAATCCAGCAGAGCATTCAGTCTTCTTTCACTTGATTGCCCCTTTTTGTTGGATTATATTCGACAATCTTGGAGTGCTATAAAGTACACAAAGTCTGGGCTTGTTCGTTAACTTAGGAGACACATTTATACAACCTGTTCAAGTAGAACATAAAGTTGACGGAAACTCGGGGACTGCGCCTACCGGATGAGCCCCAAAAAGGGCGAAACCGGTCGTGGGCTGTCGAAGAGTTTTCAGCAACCTTGTGAGTAGTTTCCTTTACGAAGAAATAACACATTCTGTAAACTGCTTCGGTTCGGTGGCTAACCAAAATCCATGTTCTCGCCTTTCGGGAACAGACATCGGCTACTGAACTAGTTGAATACAATGGGGGTCATAGTGTCCGTACATATATTTCGCGTCTTGTCCAAAGATCGCTTTGCGAGATTATGAAAATACAGCGATCGTTAGGATGATACCTCCTTGCTACCTGCAAGACCAGGTGACGACCACTGCAGTGATGTTCCGTAGATCCAAATGGAAGTGAATTTCATGCCACCCGATAAAAATGTTTTTAATATCCCTTGAAAGAGTGGATTGCTTACGAGAAACCTGGCCGCCAACCAATCAAACTTCAAAATGACGTTATTGGCTTTTCTCAAAACCACCCATCACAGGCTACACTGAAATTTGAAGCCAACTGGTTAGCAGCACGTGCTCTAGGGAGCTAGGTGAGCCTTGATTTCTCTGATATCATACTATACTTTTGTAAGCTGCTGTTTTTACTGCTTTTTTCGCCCCCCCCCCTAGTCATTGATATCCTTCATTCCATTTCATTCTCTCGGACATCAGTGCCCGCCCCTTTCGTTTAGGGTGTGAACAACAACAACGTACAGAGTGAATCCATCATCTTAACTTGCGGTATTCCCATGGAAAACCAACAAACGGATATTTGCTCTCTTGAGCAAGCCAGATGTCTCCGGCTAACCACAAGGTGGGCGGAAATAGGTCAGCTTTATTGAACGTGAGAAGGTACTGTTCGTTGACCAAGTAGCCGAAATAATGATTTTTTGCAGATGAACCAAAACAGCGATTTCCTTGAACTTGGTTGCGAATCGCGAGTTCATATGCCATCCTATCTGTCGTCAAGCGAACCAATCAAATCAGTCGATTTGACCTACGTTGAGTGAGATAACTCCTTTGGTTATTTGCTTATGAGCTATGAGTATAGTCACCAATGTCTGGTGATTCATTTCAACCAATGCTCACTCAGTCCGGAAGAGTCAGTGAACTCGAAATGGCCTCACCGTTCTTTAATAGTGATAAGTTTAAAACATAATACGTTCGAACCGGTTAAGAAATCCTGAGCGTTGTCTGCGCACCTGAGTTAGAAGCATTTACAGAGCCTCGATGGAATACATTCAACGTGGTCACGTGCGGCCGTAGGACGTTAAACCAATAGAAAGTTCCAGAAAGGTTTGGAAAATAATCGATAGATTGGTAGTCTGTCAGTGAAGTCGGCAGTGAAGCATCGGTGTTGAACACTGATGTCATGCTGTCGATGATGATGATGATGATGATGATGATGATGATGATGATGAACAAACGTCCTTGGAAGATCAGTTAAACAATCTGCAGTAGAAAAGCTTATGATAAATCAACCGCGTCTTATGTGACTACATCCGGATGGCGGGAACGCAACATGTGGTGTAACAGGGTTAAGTCGAACGAAATGTCACCGGTGCTCCCCTCTGTAAACCAACATACCTCGATTGTGTTATCTGTTCAACGACTTCCGTGACTTCACGCCGGACTACTCAGGGGATGCATGCCAACCAAACAGAATTCAGTGCAACTTACCGAAACTCACACTCACTTGCAAACAAATTTGGTTTTGCGAGAGACTCACCGGGAACTCAGCTGAATCTCTCGTTTGTGATGTTTCCAGGCAACTGAAAGTGCTGCACCAAGCCATCTCATATAACGATATTCGAGATATCGTGATATGTGTAGACTACACACTACTCACTAAACCAGGTGAGTCCCCTATAAAGCCAGATTGGTTTGCAAATGAGTGAATTTCGCTACAGTCAGATTTATTTATTCTTCCCATGTAGTATGCAGGTCCAACCAAACTGCGACCGTCCACGGTTAGCTCAGTTATTCGGGGCCATGAATGATCAGGGCGACTCCTTAGTGAGTGGGAAGGTGTGAGCGTCTAGACAAACAACAACCGTACTCACAGATATCATCAATGAATTCCCTCTGCGACGGTGCAGACTACTGACAAGGCATGTCAGTAGCGTCTGATCAGGTGTTAAAGTTCCGCCATTGCTTCTGATGCGAGGTTGGTATGAAAATTGTGCAACCGCTTTGCAGTTCTTGTTCTTTATTGTGTAATATTCAATGTCCAGAAACGCTCAAGAAGATGTCTGAGGATGTTCGCTTTTCAAATACTGTCTGCAAATGAGATTTATACTTACGTGGGTAATAGCTTGTAACCGCTTATTTCGTCTTGTCCAATAAACGGCGCGCCGAAGAGCATTCATCCGTTGACCCTATCTAAACCGATTGCCTCGGAAGATAAGTTCATCGGTTTTTATACCAGTTTTTTCGCAGTAGATCGGTTGTGTAGACCTACCGCTCAACTCGCTTAGCCACAATCAATGAGTGCGTCTTGGTATTTATAGCGCCAACCCAGTGGAATATGAAGAGAGACAGAGCCTGAAAACATCACAAACGAGAGATTCAGCTGAGTTCCAGGTGATTCTCTCGAAAAACCAAATTAGTTTGCAAATGAGTGTATATTCGCTAATCTCGTACAATTTGGTTTCAAGTAGAACATAAGGTTGACGGAAACCCGGGGACTGCGCCTGCCTGATGAGCCCCGAAAAAGGCGAAACCGG